TGGGTATATCCTTAAACTAACAGATATACGTCCTTGTTGGGGAATGATGAAAATTTATTTGTTACGAGGTGTACGACCTCCATATGTGTAAATGCTTGTTTTTCCATAAAGGGTCACTCTATCTTTCAACAAGATCTATTAGAGGAAAATTTTCAAGAACAAGAGGTGAAGATGTCAACTAGAGCAAGAACTCAATGTGTTAGGTTGACTGACTATGAGAGAATTTTTTATCAATCTATAGATAAAGATTATGACTTGATAGAAGAAGCCATGATGGTTGAATCATAACCAGTTGACCACAATAAAGCCCAAAAAGATGGGAATTGAAAAGATGTTATGAATAGGGATGGAAATGGGCATGGTTTTGGAAAGATACTATAGTACATGTCCCATACCTGCAGTTTGAAAAATTCTCGTACCCGAGCCCATACTGGCGTGGGAAATAATGTTTGTTCCCGTACTGGTATCCTATGGGTACCTAAGTACCCATACCCATAGTCGTTTACCTGCATTTCCAATAAAAAATAATCTATCAATTATATTTTATCATGTCATTTTAAGTTATTAAGAACATTAAAAAAATTCAAGGATGATATTATTGAGTTAAGAAATAAACAAATATTTTTATTAAAATACGTGCAAGTTTAATATGTTAGATTATACAATCACATAATTGGTAAATCAATTGAGGTTTAAGGATTATGGAGAAGAAGATAGTGCGAGAAGAAGAGAATTAGAGAGAGAGAGAGAGAGAGAGAGAGAGAGAGAGAGAGAGAGAGAGAGAGAGAGAGAGAGAGAGAGAGAGGTGAAAATTAATAATGGCATTAATTTTGAGATGATATGCCTCCAAGATATTTATACAAGTAATGTCTAACAATTAGGACCTAAAACAAAACTTTAAAATACAAGAAAAGCTAAAAATTCGTATGTGTAACCGGTTAACACAACATGTTAAACAGTTACCACTGAAACAACAAAAACAATATTAAACAGCTATAACCAGTTAACGTGTTTGTGTAACTGGTTAAACAACTTTTACAGGTCCTATAAGTTCTTTTCCACTAGTTGTAATCGATTACACCCTTGTGTTAGTCGGTTACAACACTTGAATTATTTCATCTAACAACCACCTTAATTCAAGTGCTCCAAGTCTTCCATGTCCATGCTTATCTTCAAACTCTTGAACACATATTTTGTGACTCCCTTAGTCAACAAATTAACAACTTGGTCCTCCTTTCTACAATATCCCGATCTTAACTTTCCTTCACTAACAAGCTCCATCAATTAGTGATACCTCATCTCAATGTGCTTGCTCCTCCCAAGTTCAATTAGGTCCTTAGCAAGATTAATGACTGAAACACTATCAACCAAGAATGTGACAACCTCACCCTCATTGTTGCCTAACTCTTCCAATAGATTCATCAACCATACAACTTGACACATATATAACGAAGCAAAAATATACCCGACCTCACAAGACAAGAGTGCAATTACTGCTTCCTTCTTCAAGCATCAAGATATTGGTGCTTCACCAAACATAAAGATGTATCATGTTGTAGAATTCCGATAATCTTTATCTCCACACCATTTGGAATCGGTAAAACCAAGCAAATTGTATTTTCTGCTCGTATTCGCTGTAGAAAAGAGAACTTCGCAGCCAATAGATCCTTTGGCGTATCTCAGAATTCTCTTGATTGGGGACAAGTGAGACACCTTCAGTCTCTTCATGAATTTACTCATAATATCGACACTAAACGCCAAATCTTGTCGCATATTACACAAGTAATACAATGATCCAATCAACCTTCTATATTGAGTAAGATCTATGTTTTTATCCTCTTCACTCTTGGACAACTGCAATGTTGCTTCAGCTATTGTAATGGAAACATTGCAATGCTCCATATCACACCTCTTCAATATCTCAAAAGCATACCTCCTTTGATGCATAAGCAGTCCCTTTTTGGACTTGTGGAACTCTATGTCAAGGAAGTATGTCATTATGCCAAGGTCACTCATGTTAAATTCTTTCATAAGCTCACTCTTAAACTTAGAAATACTATTCTCGTTGTTGCTCGTTATTAACAAATCTTCCATATATAGAGAAAGTATGATCACACATTTACTTGTATCCGTATTTACATAAACTCCATGCTCGGACACACATTTCTTGAAGCCAACCTCAACTAGGAAATCTTCTATCTTTTTATTCCAAGCTCTCAGAGCTTGATTCAAACCATATAACACTTTGACGAATACTTGGTGTGCAATCGATTCAAAATAGATTTTGCTATGATTTTGTTGGTATGTAAATCCAATTACAGTCATAAAGATTGTAATCAACTCAACAAAACAATTTGTAATATTAAATAAAGAGTTTATCTCAATGTATCAATTGCACAATTTAAGTTTTCATAATTTGCAAGTAAACGTAAAAGAGAGAGTAAGAAAGAAAGAAAGAGACATAAGGATTTGTTTAGGCAATTCCCTAATCGGACTCCTATGGGTATGTCTTCCCCTAATTCCACTCGGAATTAAGATAATAAAAATTAACTTTAGCAAAATATTGTTTACAAGAGAACAAGTGGCAATCCAACCCTCCAAATTCTAAGTTTGATGTTGATCATACCTTCTTGTCTCCCCTTGATCAGAGGTCGATCAAGTAACCTGATACTTCTAATTTGATCGTCTAGTTACCGTTACTCCTTTGATAGAATCCTTATTTTTCAAATCCTTTGCTCAGCTGAATCCAAATTACGAACGTATCGTGACCCAAGATTTACCAAAGTGATCCTCCGGTTACCGTTACTCCTTAGACCAAATCCACCGTCTTTTGAAGCTTTCACTCGGTTGAATCTAAATTGCGTAATCTTGTTCAAAACCTTCAAATCACCAATGATCTTGAAGGAAACTCTATCTTGATTTTCTGATTTGAAATCCTCGATGATCTTTCAACCCAAATGATTACACTGAATCCTAATTAGACGTTATCAAACTATCTCTTGATTATACAACAAAAATGATTATGTGTAGTTGTTGTATATATGCAATGAGAGAGGATGATGATGGTGAAAAGCTTTGTATATGTTTGATTTTGTGTTATGAGAAATAATGCATGAATGACTATATATAGGTGAGTGTGTGTGAATGAGAAAATAAAAAAAAATTACGTTTGTAAAATTATAAAATTGGATATTTTGGTTACTGGAAGCCGACTCCTAAGAGCAAGGGAGTCGACCCATACAGCTTGGGAGTCGACTCCTTTTAGACATAAAAGAATTTTTTAAATATACTTTAGTAGGAGTCGATACATAACATGTGGGAGTCGACTCCTTCGTGTTATGTATTTGACTCCAGGTGCCTGGGAGTCGACCCGTTTTTAACAGAGAAGAATTTCTAAAAATACTTCCAGTGGGAGTCGACCCACAACTCAAGAGAGTCGACTCCTTCATGTTGTGTATCAACTCCAAGGTCCTGGGAGTCGACTGCATTTTGACAGAGAGTTTTCTTTTCAAAAATGTTTCAGAGGGAGTTGACTCCTACCTCGGGGGAGTCGATTCCAAACATGATTTTCAAAAAAATGCATATTTTTGACCATTTTAACTTGTTCAAATGTTTTTGTCATGATCTAAAGGTGTCCTAAGATGAAAATGCAACTTAAACATAGAGAGATAACGTCTAACATATAAATACTACATACTATTTAGATTTGACATCATTCGAAATATCTAAGAGAGAATATTTCACTCATACCAATGAGCCATCGTAGGAGTAAACACAAAAAAAAAATATCACTTCTTGAAAAACCAAATGAACATGAAACAAGTTAGAAGTCGAGTATTGCAAATTTGAATTGCAACTTATAGACATATTCACTAAGCCACTAAAGAAAGCAAATTTTGACTCTATAAAAGCAATGATAGGAATGAAAAAACTAATTTATATGAATTAGGAGGAGTAATGTGACTCTAATTCATATGGGGAAGTAGACTATTTGTGTTGCAAGTTTTAATTGCAACACAAGTAAACTATACCAGTTAGGTTGATTGCTTAAGTGTGTATATAAAGGCCACTTATGCAATTCAATTGAAATCAGTTCTTTAATTTATATTTTCTTAATTGTTCTTATTTCTTCATTTCATTTCTTTATCTTGCATTACAAGTTATATTGTATTTATGGATTTATTCTTTCGGTAGTAATTACTTTTACTTCATAATTCTATTTTAAAGGTGAAGAGCCTTTGTAATTAACTTTTCTTTTTATTTTTATGTATTCAACTTACTTTTCCACAAAATAATTTAAAGATAAATCACTTTTACATTCAATTTACTCTTAACTACACTTAATTTTACAAAACTAATTTATTTAAAATTAATTTTTGACAGGACTGAATAAAACACACAATATCTTCCATTTTCTTTCACTAGCAAGCCCAATATTTGGCAGCTGATTTACTCTTTCAGAAGAAACCTTCATATGTTTAATGCCCCACATTAGAATTCATATGCTTTCACACAGACAAAAGCATGGTTGATGTGGTTGATTAAATTCGATTATTTAACCATGGTCAAATCAAATTCCTACTATTGTAGCTCTCGTTGAAAATTGATTCATAAGGTACTTCTCAATCAATAATCTACAAATTAAGAATGAGAAAACAAGACAAAAGAGTATCCTTTTTCTTTCCTTTTTTTTTTTGAAGTTAACTGCAACAATTTCATGTACATGACCTGAATGTTTAAGTGAAATTGCAAATCATACATAGAGAAGAAGAAAAAACATCTCCATATTCATAATATTTCTTAAGCTAACTACACCAACCTCATGCAAATCACTTATATGTATATACTGGAAAAGTGGTTGATCTTGAACAACAACACATGTATCTCTTCTTGATATTGCCCATGATTTTTAGGCTGCACAAGTTTTGCTAAAACAATAACCAATGCTTGCTGGTTTATTTTTGTTAGTATTTTCTTTCAAACTGCACATTGAAGTCAAGTCATGTAGAAGGGACAATCGAGAGCTCCAAGCGGCCGGTCCATTCTTCTCCCGGTTTTAAGGTTATCGGATTTCCAACCGCTGCGCCATCTACGCAGAGCATTTGCTTGTACTCTTCGTCTCCGAAATCTACTATTGACTTGGATTTTTTCTCCCAAGGATTCCAAACAACTATGCAATGTTAAAATTGAAATAAATGGTTAGTTTTAGTTATGTTGTTTGTATAATGTCGTAGTACTTAGATTTTGAGTGGAAAGTTTAGTTAGTTGTTGCCAATGATGGACACTTACCAACATCTGGAAGACCTTCCTTTCTTATCACGAAGGTTTGCTTCTTTTCGTGATCTAGAACAGCTACCATATCGCAGGAATCAAGATAAACTCGATCCACCTAACGCATAGGGGGAAATAAGACCTTAGCGTGATGGTAAAATCTCAAAACTTGCAGTGTAATTTAACTCAATAGGTATAAAGATTGACTTGAATGTAAATCATCATCAATTTCCTTACCTCAGATTCAAATGTCAAAGAATCTCCTTGTTCTGTAAATCGTTCCTTTTGGCATAAGTTGTCGAGGTAGTCAAGAGTTTCCAACCCTTCTAACCTCACTTCACTGTCAATAATCAGGACATTTTAAGGTTAACTTCTATGTTAATTCAATGATTTGCAGCGCGATAGTTTTTGGAAATGATGGGGTAGAACACAGACCTGATATCAGAGATGGATAAATATGTATGAAATGCAAAGGAGAAACTGAAAGGCTTGCCATTGATATTCCTAATGCGTGAAATCAGGATCAGACGACCGTCTACTGTCAAACAGACCTTTAGGCGAAACTCGAAGCTGAATAAAACAATTTAGAACAACAGTTAATAAAATAATTCTCATCCAACAATCTCAAAATACATAAAATGTTCATGCAACAATAATATTGATTCTGATGTCAGTAAAGTTTAGAAGATAAAGCCGCATTGCATGTACCTATGTGGCCATATCTTCATATCATCTTCAGATGGTTTGAGCAGCAAGTCAATGCAAACTTTTCCATTAGAATCAGCGGAAAGCGGAGGAGGATTTTGATCAATAACCCATGTCTTATTCCTTGCAAATCCATGTTGCTCTAGTGTTCCACGGTTTCCAAACTACAAAAATCACACCAACCTTAACTAACCATATATCTATCTATCGATCTATCTATCTATCTATATAAATAACACTAGTATCGGTAAAATTACCTGTGGAAAACAGATTGGAATTCCTCCTCGAACCGGTTTGGGAGGACTAAAGACTGCCTGATAAAAATTGTTACATTTTATATACAAATTTCTTGGAGAAAAAATCAAATTAGTTACACAAAATAAAAAACCTGATCTACCTTAGAACTAGAGAACAATAACTCTTCGCCGCGATCGGTTTTCCATGAAAGAACTTGCCCTCCGTGCAAGCTAACCTGGAAAATTCATACACAACACATCACAAGCTAGCATGAATCAAATTCAAGAATTGAAATTGAAAGAGTTAAGAAAATGTAACCGTTGCTGAAGCTCCTCGAGGGTTTCGAAGAACAACAAGGTCTATTCCATTTTTGTCCTTGGTAACCTGAACTAGTTTTCTGTTATGATCACTTTCACCTCCAGAATGATTCATCTCCACCAAAACCTACTTTGAGAGCGTAACAATTCAAAGAATTCAAAGAAACAAGAAACAGTTTCTTTATCAATTTTTTCTCTCTCTTTCTGAGTAATAGTGAACACTTTATGAAAAACAAACTTTGACGTGACGGAAACGGTTCAGCAGATGAAAAATCACGAGGCTCCCGTGAAAACTTTCTTGTGACTAACCAAGTTGTTTTTTCAGTTATTATTGAAAAGGAATGAAATAAAGTTGATGGTTACAAGTCGAGAGTGAAGATCAAATATTTGAGGATAAAATGGTGTCTTATCGAGGTAAATAGTCAGAATTATTGAACCTCTGTGAAATTTTCAATCCAATGGTTTTTGAAATTTCAAGGTCTATGGTGGAACCTAATATGACCATGTCACTCAAGAATAACGGCTTAAAGTTGGTATATTTTGGACCTTTGATTTTAGGTCAACAAGCTAGGGACTGGGAGGTAGAATAGATAGATAGATAAGATAATATGCAATTAATTGGAAAATAAACGGTGATAGAAAAACTTCATTTTCCTTTTTATGAAAATTATATAATTGAAATGAAGAAAAGAAAAAGGTAAAAATGTACGTAATCCTCATGATGTAAGTTTGGAGTTATTAGAAAGAAGATAGCTATATACATAGCGTGGTCATGATGATTACATTATCCTTCGTAATAGTCGGTGGCTGCACTTAATATGTCAACAAACATAGTAAATGAGATTAGTGAAATTATAAAAACCAACTTATCTTATTCATATGATTACATAATCTTTAAACCAAAATGTGTATTCAGAGTGCAGATAATCCGACAGCGCCGGCCATTTTAGAGAAAGATTCCCTAATAATATTTTTATGGCTAAATCAGTTCGAACTAGAATGTTTAGTGGTCAAACTCTATAATCCAGCATAATTGATTAATTAGTTTAATAACACTTGCTCACAAATAAATAAATAAATAAATTAGATATTAACGTATAATTAAAAAAAATTCTTTTTATTAGAACCTGGAATAGTATTTTTTGTTGTTTTCATATGCAGCAGACCTGAGTATAGGAAATCAAGTTCTTAAAATAGCTTTTAGGGAATTTCCCGGAACCTGCTTCCAACAACTTTTGGATGGAATTAATTTTTTTTTCTTGACTTGTGATACAAAAATCAGGGCGTACAAATGTTGAATTCTGCTAGTGGAATTTTTATGCTCGTTTACATGCTATTAAGTGATAATGTCATCCATGTCCCAATAAAAAATGATAACGCTGAATATTTTTTGGTGTTTCAACTTCAAATACAAAATTTTCTACTTATGCAACGCAATTTCATCTTTAAAAAAATATCCACTTGGATGTATGAAAAAGGAGCGCGATGAAGATGGTTTGAGTTTTCTGAACCTATAAGAACATTTACAAAACTTGCATAAAGACGGAAGAAGGTAATACATAAAGTGATTTTGGAAAATCAGTTCGCCTTTTTGGAGGATAGACAGATCGGAGATTGTATCTTAATTGTAAACGAATTAGTAGATGATGCGAACAGAAGGAAACGGGAAGCATTGATGTTTAAAGTTGATTTCGAAAAGGCGTACGATTCGATTTATTGGAATTTTCTCAGTTTTATGATGGAGAAAATGGATTTTAACGAAAAGTGGAGAGGTTGGATCAATGTCTATGTGCGGTCAGCATCTGTGTCAATTTTGGTTAACAGTAGTCCAACGGATGAATTTAAGATGGACGGAGGGTTAAGGTAAGGGGACCCTTTATCCCCGTTCCTTTTTCTCTTGGCGGCAAAAGGCATTAGCCTTATGATGGATAAAAGTGTTCAGCGAAGTTTGTTTGATGGGTACAAGTTCGACGACAATGAGGTGTGTGTTTCGCACATTCAGTATGTCGACGATACTATTATTACGGGTACCAAAAGTTGGAAAAATGTATGGGCGATCAAGGCAACCCTGTAGTTATTCAAACTGGTTTCCGGTTTGAAAGTCAATTTTCACAAAAGTTGTTTAATTGGTATTAATATTTCTGAGAGATGGCTGGGGGAGACGACAACAGTTCTGAATTGTAAGGTGGGTGGGACTCCTTTCAAATATCTTGGGATCCTGGTTGGAGGGAATCGCCGAAATTTGAGTTTCTGGAAGGGTGTGATCGATGTGGTGAGAGGAAAGTTGGCGTCATGGAATAATAGACATCTGTTAATTAGAGGTCGTATAGTGTTGTTAAAATCAGTTTTAAGCTCAATTTCGGTCTATCAATTGTCGATCTTCAAAACTCCGGGAGGCATTATTTCCAAATTGGAATCGTAGTTCAAGAATTTTTTGTGGGGTCGGGGAATGGAGAGGAGGAAGGTAAATCGGGTGCAGTGGGAGAAATTTTGTCGGGAAAAGGAAGAAGGGAGATTGGGGTTTGATCTTACCGGATCAGACCTGGACCGTCACGACTGGCTCTGGGCTGAAGTTGAACGAGATGGGGGGGTACCTGCAAGGCACTCCGATGCTAAAGTAAGTGGCAGTACGAGCAGGCAAGAAAGTGTGTGTATGGTAAAAGAATGAATACCTGACCCTCTGGGAACAGAGGGTATTTATAGCCCCCAGCGCTGGGCCAAGGTCCCTTCATTGGGCCGGGCAGGTTTGGCCCAATGAAGGAACTGCCAGGTTCTACGTGTGTAGTGGGGACCCGCACGTGGTCTCCTTCCTGGGTGTTCTGCGATAAGTACGGACGGACGAGGACGCGGTCTTTTCGGAATCCAGGTGATGGTGTAATGGTCATAGTCTACCCTACGAGGGGTGCTCGAGCTGAGGTCGAGCTGGACTGCATGGAGTCGAGGATGTTGCGCTCGCGGACGGTGGTGGACACAATTGTAGCTTCTTGGTCGGCGCGACCCTCTGCAAAGCCGTTTGGATTGGGCCTTCATCCTTGCTCTTGGGCCAGCCCGGCCCAGTCCAGAACAGGAGCCCCCCAAGTCGTGGTTCCTGGAGTAGGAGCCATGGCTTGATCTTAGTTCGCCTCCGTCACGAGGTCCCGTGCTCGGACAAGAGATTTAGTTCCCCGTGGTCACTCAAGGAGTTTCCCCTGTGTCGCGCTCGTGAGATAATTCCTTTCGAGGAGTGCTCGGGGGACTCTCGACGGGCTATGTTCGTTGAGCACACGTGGCATCTCTTGGGAACTGTGTCGCCACCCTATTGAAGATAGGGTCATCATTGCCTAGGGGAGCTATGCGTCGAGGAGAGAAGTTTGTGGTTCCCCAGGGTGACGTTTTGTATTCCACGTCATGACTATAAATAGGGTCCTTGGGCCCCAGAACATGTTTTTCCTCTTCGCGCTTCTCCTCCTTCCTCTGCCTCTGCTGCTGCTGTTTTTTCCAAATTTTCATAGGACCGCCGTGCTCTCCGCCGCTGATTCTCTTCTCCGCCGCCGTACCTCTTTCCTGATTTCAAGTAAGCGTCTTTTCCCTTTTGCTTTTCCTCTGTGGTATATGATATTTTCCATTGTTTTATACGTTAGAGACTGTGCGTCTGGGATTAGCCCCGATAGATTCGTATTTTCGCTCGGCAAATCCACGTTTATGCCCGGCAAACGCATGTTTGTGCCCGGTAAACGCATAGTTTAGGTATTTGACTCGCAATGCTGCCCGGGATCTTCATGATTCAGGGCGCCTAATTCGTGATAGTGCCCGGTAAATTCATAGTTCTAGTTTTAGGATTTATGATATCGCTCGCCATGTCCATAGCCTAGGTCGACATATTCGTGCCTGGCCGGGATGTTGGCCCATTTAGGCAATCTGTAAGAAGACTTGTCGCGGTATCTTGGCGTCGGGGAGGTGGCTCCACTCTTTTGTTCGAAACTTCAACTTTTTAATCGTGTGTAGAGTGTGACTCGGTTTGTCGTGCCCTTCTTCTCGTCAGTAATGGCGAGCGTGTGGATTTGCTCCCCAATTGACCGGTTTCCTGTGTTTTGCAGGTTACAATGGCGGATGAACCGTGTTCCTCGGGGCGCAATGAGGTGGAAGATCAAAGCGCCGAGGAGAATGTGAATTTGGTCGATACCATCGACGATCCTCTGCTGGAGTGGGTGGGCGCCGAGCCCAGAGGGATTGCTTCTGCCTATAGTCGGCGCAGTCGGAGTGCGTATACTATCGTCGAGCAGGGCGGCAGTCAGCCCGGCTTTCAGAAAAACTCCGTTGTCACCAGACCGACTCTTACCGCGCGGATCTGCTCGGAGTTCCCCGAGTACGGGTTTCCCATGTATGAGATTGCTTTCAAGGACCTTGGACTACAGCTCCCCTTTAGTGATTTTCAGGTCGGGGTCTTTAGTCATCTAGAGCTGGCCCCGTCGCAGCTTCACCCCAACTCGATTGCTTTCCTCTGGGCGTTCGAGCTGACGTGTCGCTTTTTAAGGATTGGGGCGACCATACCTCTCTTCTTCAGAGTCTTCCATTTGCAGCGCCAGTCTCGGGGAGGTAGGCACAGTTGGGTTTCCCTGAAACAGTTGAAGAGACTGTTCAGGATGTATATGGATTCTGTCCGGGGGTTCAAGGAGAAATGGTACATCGTGCGGCCGGTTACCAAAACTGGTCTAGAGTATGTATACGAGGAAGAAACGGTGGTGACCGACGATCACGGGGAGGCTCTTCTAGACGATGAGGGACGCCCGGTGTTGGGGCGTGTGGCCAAGTTTCCTTTGCATTGGACCTCGCGTCACTACGAGCACGGCACCGGGCACTACCATACGCCCGCGGGTGGGATGAGCACCGAAGATGAGGAGGCCTATGGTACCCTCTACAGATATGTCGATAGTTTCTTCCCTGCCCGGTGGGCCACGAGGGAGGGAAAGGATATTCTCGACGAAGATGGTTATCCGACCTTTGAGGCCCGGCCTATCGATACGAAGGCGCTCGTGGAGTGCCAGTCCTTCGGGCAGGCCGCGAATCTGTTAGGTCATTATTATTTTTTGCCTTGTTTGAATTTCTTCGCTTGTTATTTGCTCGTCACTAACCCGG